TTTTTTTTTTTTTTAACAATATGGATGGATCGACTGCAAAATATTCATTTATAATATTTTTGTAGATGTAGTTTGCAGTTGTGTAACATTTCACCACATCGTACGCAGAGCTGTTCTTCATGTTTGCTGACTATATTAAGGTATGGGAGCAAAATAATCTGATAGACTCAATCAAAACTCAGACTTGTTGTCGTTGGAAATGTAGAATCTTTTGATTCATATGGCAGTGTGCTGCGCATGATGATCGATGTCATTCAAAGTTGCAGCCCAACAGCTCTACCCGCAGTGTGATGGAGCCCATCCAGGTTCTGGGGATGATTCGGATGAAGCGTGAAAAAATGGGAGGGTAGATGAAATTCTTGACATGTTCGTTGTTGTCAGTGTTCCCAAAGAAGATCTGGATTTAGGCATAAACGTGAGGAGAGGCAGGTTAGAATTTTGGAAACAGTGACGGGTATTCATCCAGCACCATGAGAGAGAAAGTACTTTAGCTGGTCGGTCCTCATCCTCTGCGTAGTCGCGCCAGTGGATGCCATTGTCACTGTACTTTAGAGTGTATGTGGTGACATACATTTCTTTCCCCAGTGACTTGGCTCCTTGAGTGACAATACCCGTTATCTTCATGACATCCGGCAGCTCCACCTGAAGCCACTGCTTCATGTCTCTGTACTGCAGGAACAATAATAGAGCAGGTATGAGTAGTTGAGCTTCTTGAGGTCGTGGAATCTTGGATGTCTCTTACCTTTGCTTGCCATGCGTTGACAGCTCCTTGTTTGTTAAGGCGAGCAAAAAAGGGACTCCAGGCTCCGAAATACCAGTTGGAGTTCACAGAGCTTGCCGAAATGCGACGATCCTCGATCAGGCCGTTCTCCATCCCGAGAGGGACTGAGCAGCCTGACCAAGAAGTAGTAGACCACAAAAGTCACATTTACCTCATTCCAAAGCATCTCAAATTCTGACATGCCTTGACTTGAAATCTTACCATCGAGCTCACAGCCGTAATACTCCATGCGCACCGTGGCCATGTTGTACCAATGCACAGGGTGGAGCCGAATGAACCGTGCAATCAAGGGTGGGGAAAAAGTGTTTGTTTGTGTCACATAGGCTTCCTGGTTCCCAGGAAACACCTAAGTGATACCGAAGTGTTAAGAGGCGACAACACACTTTTCTCATAGGATAGCAGTTTGTACTTTCTGTCTTATATTGCATTTAGGAATGTTTGCACAGAATCAGCACCAGGTTACTCCTGGATGGCAGAAAAGTCAGTGACTACCCATGACCTGAACTGAAACGATGACCAAAACATCTTGTGTCTGGCGTTGCGCTGCCAGAAAATTTCCTTTCAAAAAACAGTTCTTCACTGATCACAGTTTCCTCCAGTTGAAAGATTATGGAAAAGAATCTCATTTTTTTTTCCCTCAAAATGGCGATTGCTATTTAAGATTTTCTTAAGGTCGTTTTCTAATGTATTTTTCAACAGTTCATATTTAGTGCAACAAACAATGTCAACTCCATTATGCATTATAGGATACTAAAGTCAAG